GTAGAGACAGGGTTTCACCATCTTGACCAGGCTGGTCTTGAACTCCTGACCTTGTGACCTATCCACATCAGCCTCCCAAAGTGCTGGGATTACAGGCATGAGCCACCACACCCGGTCATACTTGTTTTCTTATTAACAAATTGCTTCTGTAAGATATTCATTAGCTATCTCCACATTCACTTTGACTTGTACATAATAATATGGCTGTGTTTTCCCTCCCCATCATTATAACATTTCTTTTTATTGAGTGTCACAACCAGGTCTCATTGCTCAAGCTTGCCATCCACACTAAACATAAATTCAAACTTTGCCTCATTACTTATCTTGCTTTCCAGTAAAAATAATATCAAGATGGAAACAATTTCTTTCAATCATCATGAAGACCAAATCCTTTCTCCTTATAAAATGTATATATGTTTTTCAATTGAACACCATCTTCCCTAATAGACTTAAAATGTGAGTAAATGCGTGTGTTTACATGTGTCTGTGTTACTTGTGTATACAGGTTATTCAACTGCAATTTTTCCCAGGTTCATCTTTCTTGTCTAGATTTGGACAAATATCAACAGTACCTGTTGATTGATCAAGCTATCTCCTGGTCCACACTCTCCATCCTCCTCCCTGTGTTACACATTATTAGTATATCAGCTATCTGTGTACTGCCTCTTAACTTGAAATCCACCCTTCTTTTCTTTCCTTTATGATACCTGATAGACCCTATACTGCTCCTCTACCAGCTCACACAATGTCAGTCTTTGTCAATAGAGGGTGCTGGAGGGACACTCCAATGTCATAACAAGAGAAGGGAGTTTTCTTTCTTAGTCTCTTTCTGGGTCAGCTGCATTGTCATCTTTCGGCACAGCTTCAAAGGATTGGCATGCTATGAGTTTTCAGCCCAGGCAGCATATTTTTGTGGACCAGCTTCAGCATATACCCTCACATGTTTCTTCACCAGCAGTAGCTAGCTACATGTTCCTATAGCAGCAGCACCCCTCCAGTGAGGTTGGAATTCACTGGTCTTAGGGGAAAGGGTGCTTTTCCAAGTCCTCAGTTTCTTCCTGACTCTGGAAATAGTGACACTGCACCCCTAAAAGTAGATGTTCTGTCTGCATTTGTTAATTCTGTATTGCTTGGCATTTTCTTTTACCCATGTTTTTAAAATGAATTTAACTGTCTTTTATTAGTTAATGATTCTTTATATCAGAATTTTCCTGTGCTGTCCTGTGGCTGAACTGTGTTTCTGTAGCATGCTCCCATTTGGTAGTTTTGTGATTAATTAGACTTCCTCTTAAACAACTGCTGGTAAGCCTGACTACATGAGGTAAATAAAGACAGAAATAAAATAGGAAATCTGACAAGGGTAGAGCAATCTCCTATAAATTTTTTAGGCTAAATGCATTAAGGGAAATATATCATTAGGGAAAATGTCTAGGTCCTTCAAGTTTTTCCAAAACCTACTAAGATGCTGAATATGCATTTCATTTTGGAAACTGTATCTGTATTTGGGTGTGCATACACACACTCACACACCCATGTATTCTGAAATATAAAAAGAAAACTGAAAAATCAAAGTAAGTGGTTTTGTTTATTTAAATGTTATCAACTGAAATTCCACTCAATGCAACCTATATTGGTAGTGTGAGTATATTTTAATGTTTCTATAATCTGTGATAGGATCCTCCCAAATAAGGAAGCATATCTTAAGCCTGCTAAAAAAATTTTAACATTCTGAGGTTCAATTTACTGATGAAACAAGACTGCTTTTATTCAATTCAGATATAAAGGAGTTAAATGTGTCCTATTGCTCATGACTATATACCTAACATCAACTACCAACTTTTTAAATATGTTAGCAATCCCAAAGAATGGTCACAACATGGAGAGGTAGAGGATTAATCTGATCCATTATCATCACTGTAATACAAATGACTTTGTACATTTTGGCAAACAAGTATGATATGAGTTTGTGTAAAATCCCCAAATACCAAAACATGTCTTGCAAGAAATATATATATTTGTATTTACGTATGTACATACGCATATATATATGTATGCATATATATACGGTGAGAGAGAAATGTTTTAGGTGAAGTTAGTCTGCAAAAAATTAAAGCTAAAATTTCAATGCAGTAACTGATACTACTGAAATTTACAATATGAAAACATCTATTGAAAATATATTGATATTTGGGAGTCTTATATCATTTGCCTTTCTGTTTTGGCTGATCATAAGACACAAAGTAACCATATGTAAGAGTCATAATTTATATAATATTATGCTAATTTTTCAGTGTAGTACTTAACAAAATTCTGACTCTTTCTATTTGATTTTAGATAGAAGTTAGGTGTTTATTTGCACTGTATCTTTCTAACATTTGGGAACATTTAAGACAAGCTGCACTAAGGCAAAGAATATTTACTAGGATAAAATTATATTCATAGCCAACCAATAACATTTGGAATGCACATTCTTGCTAAAAAAAAAAAAAAAAATAGTCTCTGCCATCATTACAAGGATCTGTCCACTTAAATTGACCCATAGGAAGAGGCAGATTAATATTTCAGGTCGAAATTTAAGATAATGCAAGGGAAAAGGAGTGTTATACTGAAGAACAGGGTTTTTTTCCTCCTGTTCTAGAATTGTGCCTAAGACGCAGACATGAAGGAGAAAAATGAAAGCACTGAAATCTTGACATTACTGTTTCAACGAATTTTAAAGGCCTGCCAACATTTAGCATCAATCACCTCCCCAAAGGTGGGGATCATCCCCCCAACTATTATGTTTTCGGCCACCCAGGTCAAGGTAAGAAAAGGTCTCTGAGGTCAGAGATGTGGCTCTGATGGAAAAAAACAGCATAATTTTTATCATAAAAGTGGAATGTACGTCCCTAATGAAAATGTAGGGAGCTCCTGATAAATTAGTTGATAATGTTTACGAAAGCCTGCAAAAATGAAATACTTTGTTTTGTTTGTTTACCCAGGTAGAAAATTTGCAAACTTGTCAACTTCTCCCCTGAGTTATCAGAGAAAGGGATGAATTTGAGTAGAAATGACATAATGGAGGATAACTGGGCAAAAAGGAACAAGGACTTCTTTGATTCTCAGTGTCTAGGCCATAAGGAAGATGGAGCTCTAAAGAGCCATGAAGTCCTGGAGAGAAAGTTGCCTGAGGGGTGAATGAGCCACAGATTTGGCAGGGAGGTAGCAGGGGACAAGAGACATGCACATCAAGGAAATGCAAAGTGAACCAAATGTCAGTTGAGAGTCGTGGTAGAATCTGACAAGGTATTAATGAACTAAAAACTATTTCATCAAAAATTTCTATTAGAGATCACTATAGTTAGCAGTAAAGGTGGAGGACTGATTATTAAATTTTTATGCTTCATCAATAATTCATCTTTGGTGATTCTAACTCACCAGTACCTAACACATCAAGCCAATTTTCCTCACCTACCTATCTCATTTTATTTTATTTTAATTGATTGATTGACTGGAGACAGGGTATCACTCTGTCATGCAGGCTGGAGTGCAGTGGCATGATCACGGCTCACTGCAACTTCAGTCTCCTGGGATCTGGCAATCCTCCCACCTCAGCCTTCTGATAAAAGGCTTGTGCCTTCACACCCTGCTAATTTTCATATATATATATATACATATATTTTGTATATACAGGGTTTCACTATGTTGCTCAAGCTAATCTCAAACTCCTGGGATCAAGCAGTCCTCCGACCTCGACCTCCCAAAGTGCTGCAATTACAGTCATGAGCCACTACGCCAGGCCTGTCTCATTTTAAAGAAAAGTAAATAACACCAGTTCCATAGAATCCAAGAGTACCAACATTCTAATTTTTTCAGGTTGATTTTTACACACTTACTGTGTGTGCAGATTATATGTATTGTGTGTATGCATGCAGACAGCATAACAAGGCAACCAGTTTTCTTAACACCCATCAGAAATTTGTTTGTTTTTTAAATATGTAACACTGACCATGACCTCATTCTATAAGAAGCATTTATCTGTGAAACTATATTCTCTTTCCTTATGAAAGTCCACACTGCTGCCTTAATCTTTCTAGAAAATTTTTCTCTGTAATGCAATTAATTTTATTTAAATAATTGTTATCACACTGTAGCTAGGTAGACATGTTGTAAAAATAATATAAAATATAAAGGGCTAATCCAAACACTCAAGTTGGAAGTGAAAACCACAAATCCAAACATCTTTAACTCTCCATGTATTTGGGTAGACTAAATAAACATGAGACATACACACAATTCTGTAACACTAAAAATGCCAGTTTATTCTAAATTACCCCTCATTTCCCATTATGTGAAGTAAAAATACTATTTAATGAAAAAACTCACCATATCTGTATCTGAGACAGGGCCAAAACTGGTCACGTAGATGTTAGTGAAGACTTCAGTAATACTGTCTGATATGAGAAAAGAGATTGAATATAGACATTATATAATAAGAGAGAGAAGGTTTGAGTACATGGTATGGTTTGGAAGTGTTGTCATAAATTCGGGAGTACTAGGTTTTACTTTCTTGTCAGCTTTTGCAACCACAATGACTATAATGCTCAGTTATTTCATAGGTTTTCACCATCCTAAATGCAAAATGCATGGAAGTATTATGATATTCTTACTTGGAAACCATACCTGATTAGAGCATCCTCATTTTAAGACTATATTGCTCAAAATGAATACTTTCTTAGGAAATATCTTAAGCAAATTAGCTTACAATAAATGTGTTACTAGTACTAAAAATAAAGTATGGTTGTTGTTTGATATAATCCTAAATTTGATGTCTCAACTAAATATTTCAGACATTATCTCCTGATGGTAAAGATTCAATTTATAGAGTGTAAATCAGTGTATCTTCTCCATACACAAAAAACAGCTTGGTAATTACAAATAAACATAATTCCAATTAATATAAAAAGCTTTATCATTCAGTGACATAAAAATAAAATAACTTGAATTAATTACAATGGATTACTTTCAAACAAGCTTACTTTTAAATGTATTTAAGAATGCATGAAATGCTATGACTGAACTAAATTGGATTCTAAAATTATGTAACATAATAACTGTAATACAATTAACTGGAGTGCTCTATTAGCCAGATGATTTACATCCTTTATTTTAAATAAGACAAATGGTAATGGGGAAGAGGGTCAACAAAAACATCTAAACACAAAAATCTTTTCACTACTCTTGAAGTAGAAAGAAACACATCATTAATTTTTTATCAACATGAGCTAAATGTCTTATCCATTAGTTGTCGGATTTGTAATTCTACGCAAACAATAAGATGAAATATTTTTCATATTATACTAGATATCAATTAACAACCAATAAAGAGAGCAAACTATGTCCGGGATATTGTTTCCATTAAGGCAAGAATAAAAAATAGAAAGGATTTTGATAAAACAGGGTAGATTCTGAATGCTTACTACATACCAGGTACACTTTAAAGCATGTGAAATATCAGAATCTGCATGTCAAACCTATGTTGTAGATTATCCCTTTGCATGTGTACAATGATTCAAAGAAAGGTAAGCAAACTTGTCAAAGACCCACAGCTAGTAGAATAGATAGAGCAAAGTTTTATAATCCAGGCAATCTCGTTTCTGAGTACTCAAGCTCAATCAAGTCATTATACCATAGTCAATGATAAACTTAAAACTAACAGTAGTTTCTTGTTAAACACATTTCTGTTCACCAGAATACTCCATGCCAAAGGCATAGTTATAGTGCTCCAAAGAAATATATTCACTAAGCTTTGTTGTATATACTATTTTATCACTAAAACTGTATTTTTGAAATTCTATTATAGAATCCATTTGAAAAGAAATAAATTTATAAACTTATTTTCAGATGCTGCCTACCCCAAAGACCTGCACAGGAGCAGCTTTCTGAGTATACAAAGTCCCATAGGACTCTGAGTTGAGAAGACATCCATGCTTAATTTAATGTTTTATTTGTGCTTTCTTTAAAAATCTTAATTATTTTTTAAACAAAGGGCCCTATATTTTCATTTTGGACTAGGCATCACAAATTATGTAGCTGGTCCTGGAACTGAATTATATATACTATTAGAAAGCAATTGTAGAGATGAGGCCCAATGCTTTTTCCCTTTTATCCACCCAAATTAATCACACAATTACATTTAATCAATTAGTAATTGAATAAAACTTTGTTATAGCTGTTGATCTAAAATGTCCAGAGAAGAGAAATTAAATTGTGAAGGTAGCTTTTAGCCTAAGAGAAGAAGGTGAAATGATTATCCTAAGTTTAAGTAGTAAAGTTAGAGTCCAAGAAATGACAAAAATGTGTGAAGGCATTGATGCTACAGATATGAATAACATTTCCTATATGCCAAATGGCAAGTAAAGGGTAAGGGGTATCATCAGTGCCTAGTAGCTATAGGGAGGTATCTTAAGAACGGATGTGAAAAATAAGGTTAGCCTCAAAGCTCTAAGTAGTAAGAGAACACCTAAGACTCAGAACATAGATATGAAAAGTTATTTTTATAAAAAGAAATGGTTTCATGGATTACTGTTATCATAAACATAGCTAAATAATGTATGCATTAGGATGATATTCTCCTGCTGTGGATGTTAAGAAAAAGGAAAATCAACATGCCAAACACTGACGAGGAACATCCAATAGTGTCTAGGCCTAGGAAAGGGATCCTTAGTAAAGAATTACTTTGTTTTGTTGTGTTTTGTTTTAGGATTTCAATATGGATGATGCAAAAGCTGTAAACAACCCACATGTGCTAATGAACTATTTTAGTGCAATAAGTATAGATATTTGACACATCCAACACAATCTTCTAGAATTGCATGATCAAAACTCAATCTTTGGTTATAATTTGGCTTTTCCTTAGAGAAGGAAAGGGAAGTGAACAAAGGAAAGGGGAAAGAAAGAAATGGAGAGGAGGGGTGGCTAGAGAGATTATTTGAATGTAGGCTATTTCCAGTAGAATACAGGATATTCTAATCTTGTGACTCTGATTTGTGAAGGCATTTTATAGTATCTTCTGATTATGTTTGTTTTTCGAACAGGGCGGAGTTGTGCTACTAATGCCTGTTACAACATTCTGATCCACTGAAGAGATGTATGTTACAGAGTAAACAAGTGAATTTATAATCTGTGGCAACTTGAGTCTCTATAAATCTTAGGTACCATGATTCACTCTTCAGTCTTGATCATACTTTCATTTTTGTTTTTTTGTTTTTAGATGGAGTTTCACTCTTGCTCCACAGGCTAGAATGCAGTGTTGTGATCTTGGCTCACTGCAACCTCTGCCTCCGGGGTTCAAGTGATTCTCCTGCCTCAGCCTCCTAAGTAAATGGAATTACAATTACAGGTGCTCACCACCATGCCTAGCTAGTTTTTGTATTTTTAGTAAAGACGGGGTTTCACCATGTTGGCCAGGCTGTTCTTGAACTCCTGACTTCAGGTGATCTACCCTCATCAGCCTCCCAAAGTGCTGGGATTGCAGGCATGAGCTATAGGGCCTGGTCCTCATCACTCTTAGTTGACACACCAAGATCTGTCCTGACTCAGACCCTTCAAAATGGCTATTGTTTCTCATTTTCTCTTTGGTTAATTGTTTCTCTGCATTTCAGTCTCAATCTAAATGTTCTCTTTTCAGAGCAGGAGTTCATATTCCCCCTATGTAACGTAAGCCGTCTTCTCTTATTTTTGCTCTCTGACACTTTTCATGGTACCTTTCAACTTTGCCATTATTTTAATGCCTTAATATATTCTCCTTACTTTTTGTTTTGTATGTGGTCTGTCTCCACAGCCAGGATGTAAGCTCCACAAAGAACAGGGACTGCACCATTTCTGTTCACTATTATGTCACGAGTGCTTACTACAGTATCTATTGCATGTTAGGTGCAGTATGTTTTAACAAACAAATTATTTTTCATTTTAGTAATGTAGAACATCGATCTTTTTCCAAAATATTTCATCAACATTAAATATGGTCATGCACAGCTATTGCTAGTTATAAGGAAAAGATACCTATCATTTGTGAAGGCAGATCCCAAACTTTCCATTGACAAATGCAGGTTGAGAGTCTAACAGGCTTCCAGTGAAGTAACAAACTCACTGGAATTCACTGCCCTGATTCACTGCAAACCAAAATTGAAGTCTGAACACTTAAACAGCTCCTAGCATAAATATCCACCATTAGTTACCTCAAAATAATTGTTTACCAGCTAAATATTTGACATGAGAAATACCTACAGTAATACGCAAAAGTAAGAAGACGTTCTATATAGATTTATTCAGAGGCAAAACACAAGAAGGTTGATAACAGGTACTTTAGGAGAAATAAGTAATGCATGTGGCATACATGGAAGAATGTATAATCCTTAGGAGAAATCATCAAATTCAGGATGGTGAAAGAGGACGGGGAATAGCCTGAAGACATGTACTGAAGAATATATAATGTATTCTTAATATTTCCTTCTTTTAAAATTAATCCTAATAAATTTTGACAAAATCTTATGATATGATTGGGGTGGTCATTGTTAATCTTACTCTTGCGTGTACTTTCCTGAATTTTTAAAATTATTCACAGAAAAAATAAATGGCCCCAAAGGATACCCAAAATGCACATATAAATAATTTCAAGAAGTGTTTAATTAATGAAAAATGACTTTTTGCTGGGAAATGCAGCATAGAATAACAATAAAGATTATTAAGAATGTTCTTTGCAAAACTATGAAAGAAGAAAATTAACGCTCAATTACTATTTATTTTACAAGATTCACTTAAAATAGATGGCTGAGGATAAAAAGTGAGTAAAATAAAACGTTTACCTGTGAAAGATTCACAACATAACAGGAAAAAGAAAAATTTAAAAATGTAATACAAGAAATGTCTGCCATAACCAAGAAGATAATGTCTCAATGCCAAGGGAAGCATGTTGGAGAAAGAAATGAAGGTTTCACCCTTTTGTGATTTTCAGTGGTCCTGAGCATCCTCTAATCCATCAAAGAGCAGGGCAGATATTCAAGGCAGGGAAACTCCCTTTTGCAAAAGCTAAGACCCACAAATAGTTAACTTTCACTCATAAACATGGTTGACATGTATGTGCAGAGGGTGGGATCAGGTTGTCAAGAAAGGCAGAAGTTTTATCAAAACAGACCTGACATGCCACAATAATGAGAATAGTATCTTCATATACATGGCAGCAGTTGATTCACTGGAGGACATTGACTTGGAGAATTTTGTGTCCAGGGCTATGTTACCAGATACATTATGTTACATTTATATAGGGGGCAAGTTGAGACAAAGTAGACTGAAGTAGACTGAGGACAGTGTATTCAGTTTGGAAGATGATGCCATTGTTAAGACAAAATTAAAAAAGAGAGAGAGAGCGAGAATAGGAAATGGTAAAATTCAA